AGAACATTTATTCAATAAAGTTAAGTCTTATTTTAAACTTCAATACTTTCGGCCATTATGGTAGACATTAAAATCAATAAATAAATAAATATTATATTTTTTTCATTATCATAAATTGAAATTAGTTCTAAAATGATAATAATATCAAAATACCTTTTCCCCCCTTTTGTAGGCTGTCGTCATCCACTGAAACTCTTTTCTGAAGTAAATTTAATTTGTTTGTTTTTTTCAAAACCAACTGCGCATTCTCGTGTTCCAATAGCGCCAATTTCGTATGTAGTCCTGAACTCTCCGACAATAAATGATCATATTTCTCCTTGTATTCTTGCCCAAACTTTTCAAAAGAATCCCTTTCTTTCATAAACTTTGTTCGCTCCAGAACTGCCTTCGATATTTGAAGAGTCGCCTCATCTAAACTGCGCTTCAGTTTTTGTAACATCGTTTCTCTTTCACTGATTCGAATTTGAAATTGTGTCTCATTTTGGCGTGAAGTTTGCAGTGCATTTCTAGTTTCACTCAAGGTTTGTTCAAGTTTTCTTTTCTGGAGATAAATATCCTCACGTGAAGTAGAATCGTGAATAATTATCGTGTCACGTAATGTTTTTAAATTATTCGAGAATTTCTGAAATACAGCCCCACGTAGAACGTTTACACTGGTGAATTCATTTTGAATCATTTGCAATGCGATTCTTCGTTTCGATTCATCTTCGCTAAGATTACAACCGTCAGATTGGTTATAATAGTATACAGGTTTTTCTTCTTCTATTTTATGTGTGCCTTTTTTATCAACTTCAATCAGTCTATCCTTTTTTTGACTCTCATTTTGAAATGTTCGTAGAAATTCACTAATATTGTGGTCGTCATCTAGGGCATCATTTGATGTTGTCAGAAAATGCTCTTAAAATATTAAGATAATGGAGAAAAAGATTTTCTATTTTTTAAATTTTCATAGAATCTATATAATGTACCTTCCGTAAGAGTTGTTAAATTTCGTGATAAATTCAAACTGTCTTCGATAGCCTTCCTAATATTCCTTTGTTCTTCATGAGCTAAAGTATTAAAAATGACTTTATGCTTTAGCAACAAATCCAGAAACCCAGCCAATTCACATAAACGATTAGTTAGCATATCACAAATTTGTGTGTAACTCTTGCACCACGATTTCTCTCGAACAATATCGGTTTGGGGTAGCTGTGGATTCATTGTTTTTATCTAAATAAAAGAGAATGGAGAATTCACCAAAAATTATTTTTGGCACTTTTTCACGTCAGCAAAAGAAAATCATGGGTGTCTTTGTAAAAATTCACTATGCCAAAAGTTTGTCATTGGTATTCGTCCCAACGGTATCCGAATTACATGCAGAAAAAAATGCAGAAACCCAAAAACGCAGAAAAAGAATTTGCAGAAAGAAAAATGCAGATTTTTTTTTTGCAGAAACCCAAAAACTCAGAAAGAAAAAATGCAGAAAAACAAAAACGCAGAAAGAAACAAGACCGCTCATAAAAACTCATGAAACGCGTAGAAAACTTTTTGAGACACTTTTCCGTTCGTGTGCCGTCGTCGTCGTTAGTGTGTGTTAACACGATAACCCAAAAAATAATTGAGATAATCAAAATCTGGAAACGCCAAAAGTTTTGTATTCGAATTAAGTTCGAAGATGAGCCATTTTCGATTTGATCCTGGGGTACTTGCCCTAAGAAAAACCTCAAAAAATTTACACTTTTGTATGAGAGGTAACTGTAAATCGACTCCGATTGGCTTCAAACTTACTGGGATTTCATTTTTTGGGAGAAAAATAAGATTCTGAAAGTTTGAAACCAATCGGAATCGATTTACCGGTACCTCCCATACAAATTTTTTGAAATTTTGACTAAAATTACCGATTTTTGGACAATTTTGTATGGGAGGTACCCGTTAATCGATTCTAATTGGCGTCAAACTTTCTGAGGTTTCATTTTTTGGAGAAAAAATAAGATTCTGAAAGTTTCATGTTGATCACATGTGCAGAAGTTTGGTTTTTGGCAGAGATTACTATGAGATATTTTTGTTCATATTCTACCCCGCGTCACAGGGATGAAGGGCAGGTCCAACCAAAGTGTCATTTGATTCTCTAGAGTATAATGAACATTTCATATCAACAAACTACTGTTCCCAAACCATTTCTAGTATGAAAAAAGTGCATTGACATGTAAAAACCACGATTTTCAGCCCCAAAATAAACATACCCCCATAACTACCCCAAATATGAATATGGGATCGTAATATTTTGTTTTTGGGGGTTTTGAGGGATGCCCTTTCGAACGCGCATGGGCATTTGAAAATCGGCGTGTAACAGTATGGGATGTTTACTGGTCAACTTTTGTTATCGGTTACAAGCGGTCAAAGACAAGGTGCTATGGATTTTCACATAACTCAAGCAAATAAATTAATGGCCAATCACATTGGAAAGCTGCTTATTCAAGTGTATGCCGACGGGAAGAAATTAAGTTTGGCAGCGTACAATTGGCCTCCACGATATGTCGCATCAGAAGCAAGCAATAGCTTTGACTTTGATAAAATGAATGAGACAGTTATTCCGCAAAATATAAATTGGCAGTATGTTTCGCCAAATTATCATTTAGAATTGCTTTCATCAATCGTCAAATCCGATCACGAATTCAAGGAAAAGTTATCTAATGCGCTTGCTTGTTCGATTCGTATTGATGGTTCAGTGGATCGTACTCACATCGACAAAATTTATGTGATGTTGAAAGTGATGAACAAAGATGGAATGCCAGAGCTATTGGGTCAATTCGAAAGTTTCCGCCGTTTTTTTTGTCTAAAAATACATTTATTGCAAAATAAATTGAAAATTTACATTAACCAATGTATTCGCCATCGTTAGCTATGACTTCTAGCCATCTTTC